CGCGTCGAAATTCCAACGTGTCGAAATTACAGTGCGTCGAAATTCCAACGCGTCCAAATTACCACGCGTTGAAATTACAGCGCATCGAAATTACAGCGCGTCGAAATTACAGCGCGTCGAAATTCCAACGCGTTGAAATTACAGCGCGTCGAAATTCCAACACGTCAAAATCACCACATGCCGAAATTACAACGCATCGAAGTTACAGCGCGTCGAAATTACAGCGGGTCAAAGTTACAACGCGTAGAGACTGCACTTCGTGAGGATTAAAACGCATTGATGTTCCATCGTCCCGAGATTTCAACGCGAGAGTACAACGCGCTGGTATTACAGCGCATAAAAATAGCTTCACGTCGATATTACATCACATAAAAGTTAAAACCGTGGCATCTCAGAAATTCTCAGCCATATCGCATCTTAATGAGAATTAAGCGAATAAATAATCTGTAGGCGTCATTCAGCGCGTGATCGATTTCGGAAATTTTAATTGCGGAGAAATTAGCGCGCAAGATCAAACGCGAAACCTGTTAACAGGAGAGTCTCTGTTACCGACAGATGTGCAAACACTTCCTTTAATCCGTCTTTCCTTAAGCCACGAGCTTTCTCGTTAAATTCACAATATTCCTTGTTATTCTCTCTGATTGCAATCTTCTGCGTGACGCTTTGAACCGAGTCGATTTTCGAATGAAATTTTCTTCCACTTCGCACGACCGGAAAGAAAATTCTTGATGATCCGATTAAAGAGTAAATTTGTTGGCTCGCGAAATTGGGGTTATTGTAAGGCGCGATTAAAACGGGTCAGAATCGATCGATGTAATATTCGATGCGACGCGTACGATTCGTTCGGCTTTATCAGCAGAAACGCGAACATCTATCCACATATCGTAGATGGGTCAATCAGTTCTCTTGGTTACGGTTCCCCTTGCGGTTCCGTTTCGTGACAGCTGTTCCAAAATTCCGACCACATCTGCACCGTCTGTAATAAAATGTTACGAACGTCCCGCCGTGACAAAATTATACTAATTTCGAAACACTGTATCTTTAGACTTCTGAATGGAATAGATAAAATATCTGAGAAGTTGTACATTTTAATTTAATTTTCTGAAAGTAAATAAAAGTTGTATGAAAATATATTTGTAACCTACACTTTGGAAAAACTGGAATAATTCTAATTCTAAAGTCCGAAAATTTCAGAGCGTGAAAAATTCAATGAGACAAAGGTCCGCAGGTTCTAAAACCCAGAATCTAGATCCGAGAGACTAAATGTCAAAGTTTCAAAGTACCAAGGTTGTAAAATTCCACAATTCTAAAGTCCTGAAAGCCAGAAGCTGTATGAACTCCCAACCCCAAGACCCTAAACCCCAAAAATCCAAGAACCCCGAAAGAGCTGAAAGACCCAAAAGCTAGGTTCTAAACGTCGGAACGTAAAATCGTGTAAAAGTAGAACTCCCTAATGCACCTAAAACATTGAAGGCATTTAGAGTCGTGAAACAGCCACGTTCGCAACTTATATCAGCGCGCAAAGTAAAGGAAAAAGCTCGTAATACGATACCGACACTGTAGCGTCCTCTCTATCATAATATTCTCGTCCTTTGATCACAAAAGAGCTATAACTTTTCATAGACACTGTAACGGCTGTCGTTTTCTTCTCAAAGATTCTGTTTGCGATTCTTGAAAATCATGAGAAAGTGATATTTGCACAACGAACACCGTGGCGCAAGCTGAGCAACATTTTACCGCATTTCCCTTCGGAATTCCTCTTTGCATCTCGGCTAACCGCTTCCTTCTACGAATTTTATTTTCTAGAAACACTTCGGCACAAATGATGAAAGGTCGGCATCAGTTTCGCCGCCGTTTCAGTCTGCAGCCGTCGTCGCTGAAGGAGGGTCAAGAAGATGGAACGACGAAAAACGTTAGGTAAGAAAATTATTCCCTGGAAATCGAACCCATCGCTAAATCCTCCCCATAAAGGAACATCTTTATCCTTTTCCCTGTTGTCTTCCGTCGGCCATTTTGATATCTCACCGGAGCGAATGAGAGGTTGCCGGACATTCGAGCGAACTTCCTCTCGGCTGCTACTTTCATTAATTTCGAACAAATAAAGAACAAAACGTTCTCCAACAGAAGTGCGTGTTCTCGTCGAACACGAAACACATTCCGGCCTTCAACAACACCACTTTTATTTTCCTTTTCTCCGTTCTCTCTCTCGCTGTTCTTTCCGGCCAGCCTCTTGACTCGCTCTTAGACCAGGCCGAGCTTTAATTTTGCGGCTAGTCTTCGCAAAAAAGGGAAGCTCGCTCCTCGCCTTTGTGCGCTCGGTAATAACCACGTCTGACTCCTTGCAGTAATAAGCGTGGATGATTACGAAGACGAAGATACTTAGAAACAGTTGTTATCTGGTGCATGCAAAAGCACCGGAGTGCCCCGTTCTGCGAGAGATATCCAAGGGAGCAATAGCGGCTCGAAATCAGGACAACCGCTATACGAAACTGCTATTCGATAACGTGTATAGCCGGGGAAAAGGATCTTCAATGTTCATTAACGCTATTCTTTTCGACGGGCTGTCCTCTTAAATACGGGACATTCTGAGCTCCTTTGTTCGAACTGGGGCTAACTTAGGTCACCTCTTTTAATATTCGAACGATTCAATTTTTGATCCTACTGAATATTTCGTATAGATCCTACTAAATATTATTTTGAATAGCATTATGCTGAATTGTAAGCAGGTCACATTTGATGTTGCGGGTTTGCCATGTTTATTTATACTGGGTAGGTTGTAATTAGTAGTGATATAGTAGGTGGATCGTTATGCGTGTATTATGTTCTTGTATAATACATGTGTTATATAGGACATTTCAAAAATTGTGCTACAGATAGAATAAATGAATAAATGTTGGTTGTGCTAAAAGGCGTTATCTGTCATTATTCTTCATATTTTTGATGCATTGACGTATAACATGACAGTACGTATAAGCAACGACATTATATGAAAGACACTGATTAATAACATCGTCTAAATATCAATCATTCGTCAAAAATTTTGTTAAATTACAAAAATGTAAAACCTGCATCCAAAGAATAGCTTTACTTACAGTCTACAAAAATGTTCAAATTTTTTTAAAAACAGCTATGAAAAAATGTTACTCTGCTTACTCCTACATGTAAAATCAATATCCCGTTTGAACCACGATTATTAGAACATTCTACTGACCTTCCCAGGTCTCTATCACAGGAATTCTCGATAACGAATTCTATTCGGGAGGAAAGAAGACCAGAAATTTAATTGGCATTCTAATTATCATAAACGTTTCAGAAATGAGAGATTGTCGGAATCGGACAGCGGCGGTGGAAAACAAACGGACAATTCCATACGATACAAAATCGTGGTGATGGGAGCAGCGAAGGTTGGAAAGTCGGCCATTATCAATCAGTTTCTTTACAACACCTTCACTCCCAAGTACAAACGAACAGTGGAGGAGATGCATCACGGCGATTTCAACGTTTCCGGGATACACTTGACGTTGAACATCTTGGACACATCTGGATCGTACGAGTTTCCAGCTATGAGAGACCTTTCCATCAAATGCGCGGATGCTTTTATCCTCGTCTACGACGTCCATGACGCTAACACGTTCCTCGAGGTGAAAACTCTCAGATCCGAAATCCTCAGCAAGAAAGGAGCGGTGCCAATCGTGATCGTTGGCAATAAAGTCGACCTAATCGAAACGGAACAAGAGGTACGACCTACGCGCAATTCAATAAAAATGGAACATACTTAAATTCAGAGATTAATTTGTAATTATCAAGGAGCAAATCTTTGTATGCCTCGAATATAAAATACAGATAAATTCGTCGATTAAAGCTTACATATGAAAACATATCATTACTTTGAATATTATAAATTCTTTTATTTAAAGAAACTTATATTCTTTCTTTAATTCTTTCTTGAAGAAGTTAAAATTTCGAAGTTACAAACACATCAGAAAATAAAATTTTTCCAGTTAACAAACAAATTCTGCAGGTAACTTGCAGAAGCTACGAGGGTGTTTTTCACGAAGTGTTATGTTTGTAGGTGGATACCGAAAGCACGAGAGAGCTGGTGACCACAAAGTGGAACAACGGATTCGTGGAGGTGTCGGCAAAGGAGAACCTGAACATCACGCAGGTGTTTAAAGAGCTGCTGACTCAGGCGAAGATGAAGTACAATTTGAGCCCAGAGCTACGGCGACGCCGCCGACAATCGCTACCGCCTCCGCAACATTTAAATTCCCGCAGCAGCAGCGCTCACGTTCCATCGCCCGCTCAATTGCAACATTTGCAACAGATTCGTGAGCGTTCCGAGTCCAAGAGGAATTCCTGCATTCTCTCGTAAACAGTGGCTGCTACGTTACAGCAGATCCGATAGAGAAGGGGCGAGCAAGTCGAACAGAAAGGGAGAAACTATGCTACGACGATTCTATTAGCGATTCCATTCGCTGTGATCGATCGATATTCTCGTTTCGACGTGCCTGCCTTGCACGGTCGATAGAAACCACGATCAAACGATCCTTCGGTGGATTAAACACTATCAGGGATATGTCGTAGGTGAAAGGTCGAAAGGTAGCTTTTAACCGTGGAACACGATGAATTTTTTCATTTTACGCGAACGATTGAATCGACATCGAGACAGTTCGAAGTCCTGCGCGTCGTTTAACGCGTTCAATTTCGTGATTCGATGATGAGTTTGATACCGTAATAAAGAGAAGTCGAAGGAAAAAGGAGGTAACATAATTTCGGTACAAATTGGAAAGTTTGAATCGGAAGCAACCGTAATTCGAGTACAGTAGACTCTTGTTGCCTCTTTTATGGGAAGTTCGTAACACGATAGGACCACCATTTTATGATCCCGAGATCGTCGCGCGTTAGATTTCCACGAGTTAGAGATCCAACGCGTTATGTCTTTGACGCATTGTATCGCGACCCATTGTATCGCAACGCATTGTACCGCAACGTATTGTTCCGAAACGCGTTGTACGGTTAAGCATAATATATCTCCACGGAGACACTCGCAACATCAAAGGAGAAAACTTCTTATCAACCAGATATATTGTCGACTCGAAGAATTACGCGCAGTTACTGTCCCAACCGCGGGCCATATAACAAGAGTCTATTGTAATCAGAATTATACTGTATATTACATCGCCGGGTTCCTCACGAGGTTTAACGCGTTAAATGTCCGCGAGAGACTTAACCGTAGAAATGGCCTCGAATTTTGAACTTTGACGATAAGGTTCGAATCTTCCGTCGCGCAGTCTTAATCGTACAAAGAAACGATTCGATAAATCGAAGATAAATCGATGTTTATTGTTCGACATTTCAATGTGTAATAGGACGAGTCAGAAATACTTGATGTATCTCTATTTTGTCTTCGACTAAACACGTGTCCTGAAATTCGATCAAGATGTTCTTTGTTCCTTTCAGAAATAGGGTAGAAAAAGAAACTACCGTCACCGGGATATTTTGTAACTTGTGCTAGTCGACGACGACCATTTCTGGTGATCTATCGTTTTCTTGGAGCGAAAAAGGAGACGAAAACGTAAAACAATGCAGACGAGACGTTTCTAAAAAAAAAGTATAACCGAACCAAGCGATGTATACGTTAAGTTTAACTAATTTATTCCGAATTATCAAAACCATAGGGTCCCAGAATTTGCAGGCATACCAAAGTATCCTACAAAGATATCCTACTTCAGGGTTGTCTCCCACTGCCCGTTCAACATCTTATTACCTAATCCAACGTATATACAACACGCCCAAGAAACATTTTATAAATCATTACTTGACTAGTCGATCGAATGAATTTACATTTAAACAATCGCCTACGCTGTTCTTTATACATACTATATATACACACGCAATTGATTTAAAACAAAAAAAAAACGTAATCTTGACTAATTCAATCTATAATGTAAAGTTACGTGTAGGCAGTTTATTAACAAGTATTATTAAATATTAATATTCGTTACTTACGACGTAATACGTATATTTCGAAAGAGATAACAAAAAGTCTATCATTCTCTTACCTAACTATGAAATATCGAATTATTTGTCAATTACGATAAACGTGAACTTATTGTACACGATTGCCTTGCTCGAACCTGAGTTACCCTGAGTACAATAACGTTCAGGTGAAAATAGCATTACCACGTACAAATTCTTCTATTCGATTGCAATAGCTTTTTAAACAGCGTCATTGTACTCGACTAACGCTAAAGACAAAACGTAACAAACAAGTAGTGTGTATGTTGACATTGTACGAAATTCCATTATAGACGCGAATCTTTGCTGAAATCACGTATTATCAACTTGAACTTTGCAAACGCATTACTTGATCGTGTTAATTCAATTAATGTTAACTAGGTCCATCGATTCAACGAGGAAAACATCAATCAAGGGATCGAAACATTTAACGCGTGAATTACTTGTAACTAGATACAGATAAACTTTCGTCAGGCCACACTTTAACACGACCGTGACTATTTCTAGCGTAGCTCCGAACGAAATTCTATTGGGGACAGATTATTAGTAGTAAGCCCTTGACTTTGTATCATTGCGTTACCAGAAATTAAATAAAAGATGGATGTTATATTTAAATTCTCGAAAGTCGTTCATACCTTTCACTTCTACCCCTTATTATTTATATTATAGTTATACTTACATCTACATTATGATCTAATATAGAATTTAAAGAAATTAAAAAATTTTTAAGATACAGATATATAAACATTTGAGAACTTGAAAAGTTAAAAAATTAAATATTATTAATAGTCATGTCACTTCTTTATTTACTGTAGATAAAGTAGGAACCTTCCTCAAATACTAGTAAATTTTCCATACCTTATCAACAATAGATCAATAAGTATAGGGATATTTAGTACCATTGACAATCTGTAGTCGCTAGTAGTACACATTTCTCAATGAACACATGTTTGTAAACGTTGACGAAGTAACCTAAAAAATGAGCCGGTCGAATTTTCGCGTTAAACTTGATTTATCCAACTTCTACAACGATGTACGACGTTTTTGTTGGATTTTTATTGATGGTGCGAAAATGTTGAAAGTTGTACATATGAAGGAACACATTGCAAAATTACTGAACATCACAGAACCGTTTCATTTGTTGTTAAACAAGACTGAATACTTGCCACCTGATGAAGATATTCGTATTGTCAATGAGAATGAAACGATATTGTAAGTATTTTTACAATCAGTGTGAATGAATTTGTATTTGCATTAATACGTTGCAGAGTTTCTCCTGGGACTGAATTAGAAAATGGATTACAATTATCTACAGAAGATACAAGGATTTGTATGAAGAAAGAAAAAAGCAATAAAGTTAAACATAAACATTCTCAGACTAATATCTCACCAGTAGAATTAAATACAACTGCAGTTCAAACTGTATCGGATGAAGTTTTAAACAAATCACAAAGTGGTTGGAAGGATTTATTCTTTTATACTTGAGGATTATGATTTTTTTATATTCTGTATAATACGTGAAAATTTCTGTTATCTAGAGTTTTCAGAATTCAGTGTAATATCTTATGGGAAAGAAGATAGCGAAGCAAGCAGTATGGTAGAGTCAAAAACTACTGATGTAACTGTGATGGAAGATTTTAATATAGAACAGGTGCCCAAAAGAAAACGTGTAAGGCGTAGAAAGAAGAGGAGTGAAGAGATTCAGCAAAGTACTTCACAGGAAAAAGAAAATATACCAAAGAAACCTAAGATTATAGATTCTTGTACTATTTCCTTTGGCAAACACATTCGTTTTGACAGTGAAGAAACTACAGGAAACAAAGATGCTCCTGTCAAAGTAATGAATGGGTCTCATACAAAGACTATACAACCTACTCATGAACTTGCTAACTTACTGTCATTAGGTAAATGTTCTACTCCACTTACCTTTACCAATCCGAGGGTGAAGGAGGAGATCAAGACAGAGCCCATGCACGATGAAGAATTACAGCTTGATGCTTCTCCTGAAAACAAGAATAAAATGAGTGTAAATGAAAGACTGCAAAATGGAATAAAAGAATTGGACAAAGATATTTCCAAATGTTCAGTTATGACAACAAAACCACAACTTAAAGATGTCATAGCTTTCAAAGTAATTATTTTACTAATTCTAAATTCTAACTGACTTAATTCTAAAATTAAGTGTAATGTATTTTTATATCAAATTATTTTTCAGATGCTTAAAATTGGGTCAGATTATACACCACAAATATCAGATTTTGTTGTGGCAGAAGTAATATCTTATTGTGCTGAAACTTCTGTGTATACTTTCAAAATATTAAGTAAGTACTCTATGCAGTTTCTACATTTATCGATCTTGATTGGATTTAATTAATTATGTTTTTTATATTTGTAGAAGGTTTAACAGAAGTGCAAGTACCAGTTGGAAAATTCACAATTGTGGAGGATGAAGAAGAACATGTAATGAATGACACAATTACTGTAAATTATGCTCAAATTATAGAACCTCGACTTGTATTTAGTAATACTACCTCAGTTCCTTGTAGCAATTAATTATGTGTTAGATACTTGATGGTGCATATACAATTCAATATATATTTTTTACATATAAGTATATGAATTCAATAACTATTTATACATCAAATAAAACCTATGACTTTGAATTACTAACAATCCTTGTAAATTGTGTATAATACTGCTCTTCCGAGCGATAATTAAAATTAAAGACTTCAATTCAAATGTAAAATAATTTCATTTCTACAAAACTATTTATACCAATTTAATGTTTTAAGGACAGTATTACTCTAAAATTTGTGTTTATAATGCTCATTTTACTATAAAATTACATACCTTCGTAATAAATTGACAAACGAAAACGGTTGATATTAACTTTCACTCAATTTGAAAATAACTGTCGAATACCGAAATTAAAGCTGCTAACTTCAAGTACATTGCTGACGCTCTCTGGTGAGAAGCGAATAAACTAACACAATAGAAAAATCCTTTCCCTGATAAAATGAATGATTTTCATGTTTTAGTAAGGTAAACAGAATATTCCATGTCCCATTGAGTTAATTACTTTTCAAGTAATAGATGTAATCGAATTATTATTTTTCAAATTATAAATGTATCGGTTGGGGAATCACATTATAAATACCCAGAGGATTCGTAACTTATCAGCATAGCATATCATTCGCAGAATCATTTATCATTCGCAGATAAATCTCGTCCCAAACCCAAGATTAGCACCAGGTCACAGGAGTTCACTTGAAATCAGGAAGATCGTGCGATTCATCTTCGCAGATTCTCGTGATCGTTTCAACGATTAATAATTACGCGGAGAAGAATTAAATTATAGACTTAATGGCCCTTTAGTCAAAGTCCTTTGTCGTAATCGAGCGATTAAAGGACGCGCAGAATGAACTGCTATAATTAGCCACAGGACTTCTGCACCGTTTCACTTCGTCTCTCCCTTCTGCTTGTATGCTCGAATTTGTTGATTGCTGAACTATTTTGCCCTACTATACATGCAGACATACACACTCTCTTTCCCGTATCCTATATTTCCTTTCTTTGACCAGGATTGAATGCTTCATTAGCCGTATGAGGGAAATTAACTCGATTCACGGGATTATGACTCTCAAAATTTTATAGCGATGTCATAGGGTTTGGTGATCGTACAACGGTGTACCTTCGAGTCGTAAACGCATTACCCACGATCCGTGGCTATTAAATTCGACAAACGGAAATAAAATCAAACTCGTAAACTCTGTTTCGTTGATTACATCGGGCGTTTCAATATTCCTGTCCACACGGTAGAAGTTAGACGGCGGTAACGTCGACAAATTAAAACATTACACCCTCGGATCACAATTTCTGTACTTTTATTTTAGGTCGAATCATCGGGGAATTTATCAGAGATCAAGTACCATATGGGAAACTGCTGAAAGACTGATGAGACTTTCAAAATGATGAATGTGTTTCGAAGACTAACTTTGTTTTCACGATCGAGAGACTTACAAAGAATAATGTCCCGAAAAGTTGTCAGCGAAGCAATTTTGTGACACCGAAGAAATTGTTCCAAGATGATTTCGATTATTCTTCTGTTGATGTTAACCGAGAACTTAGTTAATATTAATTACCTCGACAATCCACTGCATGTAAACTTTGACATATATTTCCAAGATCTTTCCACTCGATTTTAGATGTAATTTGTCTTCCGACCAGTCTGTCGAACGATACACGCTACGATGGTTTTTCCGTTTTAAAATGTGCACCATGGTGTAACAATCTTTTACAAATGTTTGCATCGACCGAATAACGGAATCCTGGTAATCCGGACGTGAATAATTCACGAGATAAAGCGGAAGAGTAAATCCGCATCTGCAGTGGCTCTTGCAGGTCCATCCCTGCAAGACGATGAATTTACTTCTGCGCTTCGAGAGTGAATAATTCATCGTCAAATCGAGAACGGAGTATATCGCTAACGCGTAATCTCGAACTTCGTGCCTTACGAGTATATTTCTGTAAACACATCGGTCTCCAATGCGATTTAAACTTCTCATTTTCCTTACTTCTCCTGCCTCTTCGCGGTAACGTCAAGCTTCGAAGTTACCAACAAATTATATTCACAATATTCGTAACTATAAACGTAATGGACATTTTTCCGAGATACTTTCCACCGAGGAGGTTCGATAGAGAGGAACGTGGGAGATGAACGTCTCGCGTAACAACCGAGGGAAAATAAACATCTGTAAGAATCTTCCATTTCACAGTACGAAAGTTTCGCGAAGGGTTGGCTCTTCGTCTTGGTCAGGATTTTGACTCGAGATCTTCTCGAGAAGCATAAACAACGGCCCGTATAAATTTCAAGCATAGAAGTTTACGCAGGAGGCAGGTAAAGTCAAGCCGGAAAAGTGGCATAAAAACGGCGAAGTGGCTCGTAAATCGAAATGAATATTACTGTAAGGCGTTATTGGCATTGCATCAAGCTCTTATGCTTATGGACAACGCTTATCCATTGTCGTTACTCTATTCGATAAAAAGAAAAATACGCGTTCGAAATGCTTTAAAATCTCGGTCAACATTGGGGTAAATAGGATTTTTATACGGGGAGTCCTATCGGAGGTTATATCATCCACGCATTATATCATCCGACGTTAAATCGCCGCGCGTTATATCTCGTTCGGGGGTGCCACCCCTTGACTCTCCGTAGTTAGTCATCTAACATCGAGAAATTCTCTGCTTCCTCTATTTTGTCTCCTATTCGAAACAAATGGTCGACCCGCAAAAAAGTTCTGCAGCAAATGAATCGATAGCGGAGGCTCGGGTCATAGTTATAAATACTCCGCGAATCTGCTCGTAAAAAAGTAATTAACAAATGGAAGGAAGGGAGATTCGCGAGTTCTTTGCGATTGGAACTACCAGGAATTGCAATTGTATACTACGGTACTCGTGCATTTTAGCGCGTTCGTTAAAGAGATATCTCGATCAGTCTTGCGTGGATATTTGTCTATGAAAAAGTTTGGGACAAAAACAAATTTATGGCACACGAGTGTTATAGCGCGTTGAAAGCAACGCGATAAATCGGCGAATCTGCAAATGGAAGACGATGAATCTCGTCGAAGAGTGGACGAGGACTGTAAAGTCGAATTGTAGTAGTTCCGCTCGATATATAGCGCGACGCGTTGCATCGCTGTGCAAACTGCGCTTCGACTACTGGCGCTGACGCTTGTTTCTGAAAAATTTTCTGTAATTCTGTGCAAGCGTACGTGATTAACGGAAAAGCAATTAATTTGCGCGTTGGTAATCACAAGAGTAATTACGGTGCAGCGTTGGGAAAAATAAAAACAGTGTTTTGTTAGATAAAGACAAAGTTAAGTCTTTTAGAAATAGCGATTTTGAAAAAACGATTCAGGTCGAATCGTTTTCTTTTTAGGACAGAAGAAGGACAACAATGGTACGAACAATTAGCAAAGTAGCGTTCCAGGTTCCTGCAGTTATCCCAGGAAATAAATGAACGGGGTTCTCAGGTAAGCTTCGTCTGAATAATTGCAGGAGCAAGGACAAGGATAAAGTAACGCAGCTAGGTTCAACCTTCGAATATCCGATCAGAAAGCCGAGACTCAGGATCTTGAATCATTCTGGCCGTCTTGAAGCGTTCTCTCGACATTTGTCGTATATCAAGCCGGTAAATTTTCTTCCGAGATAACGTCGGCTCCAAAGATAAATTCTTATTCCGACAGCAATGTTCTGCTTCGATAGTTACGTCAGGCGTGTCGTTCCTCTTTTCGCTTTTACGACATCAAACTCCCTATCACCGTTATCCTTGAAGCTTAAAAATAAAAAAAGAATAAAATTAAGTCGTAATGTCGGCCAACGAACGATCGAAGTCGTTTTAAAGAAGCTGAGAACGTTCCTCCTCGAAATTTCCCTGCGAGGCGTCTGTCGTTCGCGGCTCTATTTACTTAACTACGTGACGGCAACCCGTCACGAGTAAATCTAATTTAACGGCCCATTAAATTGATCGATCCTATTGCGAAATCTTGTCGTCGAGGTGGCTAATTTTAGCAGGGTCGTTCTAACCCCGTACGAATTAGGCGATTCAAACATCGACGCTTTAACCTCTGCCGTACGACTGCCAGATACGTGGAAAAGTTACCCGGAATGATCTTGACAACACGTTTCAAGGTCAAGGACATAGTTCTCTATTTTAAATAATTACCTTCTAATTAGGCAACTAGTCTTGTCGACGATATAACGAGAGACTACTGTATCTAATCGTACGTAAGTGATTCGTCTGTTTAGGAGACGAAGTTTATTCATAACGAATTTCTACGTCTGTTTAATTCTTGAGAGTATCGAAGTTCCTGCGCCGGTGTTGGAATTTACACCCAACCGGTAACGCGATATAACAATGCAGAAGTTTTGTAGCGAACAGGTAATTTAATCTGGCTACACTCGAAACAAGGTATTACGATATTGTTCCACACACGTTTCCCGCTTGGAATTCGTTATATTACTCTTCGCAATTCCAATTTCTCGTTGGTTGATAAACTTCGCCTCTGGTAGACGGCGTTTCTATTATTCCATGGAAGCTCGGATTACGTTGTGCATTTAATAATTAAACTTACATCGCGACTGTCGTGTCCAATATATTTTCGTGAAACACTTCCGAAGCGCTAGGAGCAATCTACAAAGAAAGTGTGACCATTTTTGTATAAGAACGCCATAAAAGGAACGGTCCCGAACGGGCTATAAACACAGAGGAAAAAAGAAAATTAAGGAGATTGAGCTGCTAGGTGTGGCCGCAGTATCGCGATCGTAAAAGAAATTTTCGCTACTACTTTATAGATGGTAATCTTGAAAATTGGCGCGTCCCCTTCCCAGTTATTTACGTTAACCGTTATTGTTACTCTTGCTCTCTATGCAACGTTACAAGCCATTAAAGACCAGAACGAAGTCTCGAGATCGAGCAACGGGACGGTGAAACGAGCCCAGAAACTATTTCAGGTAATATCTTGGTGGAAAACACTGCTCCCTTGAGATTATTGTTCCACCGTCACCAAGAGTTGCTTCCAAACCCGTAGCGGGATCAACGGAGGGGAGGTC